CTTTTTAAGTTCTGCTACTGCTTTGTCTGTATGTTCTTTGGCTTTCTCTGGGTTTTGCAAAATTTCCTTCCTAATTTCTTTAAGAGTTGTGTATATTATTCTTTTGTATTCTGCCTCTGGTAATTCTAAGAAATTGTCTTCCTACATAAAATTTACAGATTCTTTATTTTAGAGGCTTGCTGAAGCCATCATGGTCTGCCTGTTTATGTGATTTGATATTGACTGTTGTCTCCTAGCCATCAATAAGTTATTATAATTTTATATTTGTTTAGTGTGTCCTAGCTTCTTGTTTTGTTTTGTTTTAATATGCCCAAATAGGCTGCTCATGTGCACTAGTTTGATTATTGGCGTCTTTGAAGCTCTGATGTCCTGTCACCAGGTAGTTAGGTCTGTTACTAAGTATGTGTGCCCAGGAGTCCGTTAAAGTTTCCTGTATGGATTCAGCTTTGGTGTCCAGGCAGTTGGTCACCAAATGTGTGGTGCAGGCTCTCACCTACAGTCTTAGAGAGGCATGGGTGATTGGTGTAGGTGTAGGCACAGGTATCTGGCTGCAGTAGGGGGTCACACGCTGAGCAAGGCAGGGGGCTGACGGCTGTCCCTGAGTGTCTGAAAGGAAGGCGTATCCCTGTTACCTAGAGCGAGTAGGTAGATGAGTTTTGCAGCTGGTCTATGAGCACCCTACTCTGTTGACTGTAAGGACTGGGGGGTACTACTTATTCTTGGACCCTTGTAGCAGGTGGCTAGGTGGCATGAGTGGAGTCACCAGTCCTCAAGCCCCTGATGCAGACAGGTAAGGCACCTGCTTAAAGGGCAGAGCAGCGTCAAATGTCACAAGCCTGCCACTTCACAGGTGAAATAGTTGAAGTTAGACTTCAGGTATTTACCCTGTTGTACTGTGGTAGTGAGGGCTTACACTGTTGACATGGGCCCACACAAGTCTATGCAGGGGTGGAAGGCACTTAGAGTCTGCGGACTCCTTATGCCTGTGCCTAGGCAAGGGAGCTGTGCCAACCCTGAGGTCCTGGCTTAAGGGAGCCGGTAGCTTATTTTTTCCCTGTTTGTTAATTTGTTCCCTCTCCAAGGCCAGGAGAGTGGGTCAGGGCACCTTATGGGATCTACTTCTGGCCCAGGGGACTCAGACATTGCTGAAGTTAGCTGGGACCGGGTGCAGAGTGGGGAGGGAGGAGGCAAATGGGAGAGAGGTTTTTCCCAAATGGATTTTTTTTTTTTTTTAAATCCCCACAGTAGACCACATGCAGTTACTTATCTTTAGCCGCTTGAGTGCTGCTTTTCACTGGTTCGGGGTGTCCAAGTAGACTTTCTGCTGCTGGATCTCTCTTAATGTGGAAAGTGCCTCCCAAGCAAGCAAGCCCACATGGGTGTTTGCCAGCCTCCCTGTGCACCCTGAGCTGATCCGGGCTGAAGGGCTGTGGCTCCCGCCAGGTCAGGTCAGGCAACTTCTCACTGCTTCTGAACCGTCTCTTTCTCCCCCCATCACTCAGTCTGATTCCTCAACTTTGCCTTGTTCAGGGCTCCTAGATATTCATATACAATCAATTCACTTGGTTTTTCAGGTCTTTGTTGTAAGAGGGATATAGGAAGCTGTCTGACTACTCTGCCATCTTGACCCCGCCTCCCAAATTAGGCATTTTTAATTGAACAAGTCTGCATCCATCAAATATGCTTACATGGAGGGTATTAGAAATCACAGTACCTTTCATTTGTTTGCGGTTTTCAGAACACTGCTATGTAAGTTATTGTATTTGGTTCTGCCCGCATCCCTGCAAGACAAATATATCTGCCGTGGAGGAGAGGAAAATACTTAGAATGTTTAGCTCCTTGTCACACACCCCTTCCCAGTCCCGTCAGTTGAAGTCTTGGAAGCGGCTTCTGTGGGCTCTGGACTTGACATGAACGCATCAGTCTACCAGGAATATTTTAATGGAAAACATTTTCCAACTAAGGAATGGGCCAAGTGAGATGAACGGTTACAGATGAGATGACTTTGACTTACAGAAACTTTATAGGGTTTGCATGTTTTTACATGGAGTTTATCATGTACTGATGTAATTGCTGACCTTTTCCTAATAGAAATTGCACCCCTCAAGGTCATGGAGTGAGCAGGTGGCTGAGCCTGTGATAAAGACCAGAGTCTTTTTCTCCCTGTTCGTTGTTGGCATGTTTGATATTTACATACATAAACTCAACTTGAGGCCCCTCCACCACTGGCTACCAAGGACAGTTTCCTTTTTCATGGATGTGATAAATGGTGATTCACACTTGATTTAACTCTCAAGCATCCCTGGGTTATGGAATGACTTAGGCTGGGTTCTCTAGAGAAGCCAAGCCAGTAAAGCTTATAAACGTATAAAGAGATTTGTATCAAGGAAATCGCTCACATGGTTGTAGAGGCTGAAACATCCCAAATCCGTAGGTCAGGCTGCAGGCTTCTCCTTATTCATGTAGCTGCAGGGGCTGATGAACCCAAGATTGGCAGGTCAGACAACAGGGCTCTTGCTCACAGGCCGGGAAGACCCAACGAATGCAACAGGTAAGCTGCTAGCTCAAGTCCCAAGAACTGGAGGTCAGATGAACAGGAGCCAGCTGCAGGGTCCAGAGTGAGCAAAAGCTCTGCTGTCTGTCCTGCCAGTCTTGGGTGAGCCAGCCTCTGCAGCTGTATGAATCAGGTGAAGCCTCCAGCCTGACTATGGATTTGGGACGTTCCAGCCTCTACAGCCTTGTGAACCATTTCCTTGACATAAATCTCTTTATGTAGACATGTATATGCTTTAGTGATTTTGCTTCTCTAGAGAACCCATCCTAAGACATTTGGTAACAGAAGAGTAGGGGTGCTACTCTAACAGACACCTAAAATGTGGAAGTGGTTTTGAAACAGTGAATGGGTAGAGGCTGGAAGTATTTTAAAGTGCCTAAGAATAAAAGCCTAGATTGCCTTGAAGAGACTTTTGGTGGAATTATGGACATCAAAGACAATTCTGGTGAGGACTCAGAAGGAAATGAGGAGAGCTATTACACTGGAGATGGTGCAGATGGCGAGAAGCAGCAACAGAGAAACAGCAGCGGCATCAGAACCAGGAGACCTGCACAAGACAGTGCTTGAGCTGACCCACAGAGTGAGACATCTGAGTGCATTTGCACAAGAGGCTTCCTGGCGGAGTGGGATGTCTTCGGCACTTATTGGTGGAGCTAGGCTTGCCAACTCATGGAGCAAGAGACCTTGAGTGCCTTCCGGCCAAAGTTTACTGGCAGAGTGGGGTGCCTCCAGACACTTATCGTTGGAGCTGAAGACCTTTGGAACACTTGCTCCAGCAGGGCATATATGGGTGATGAGGCCTGAGAGGCCGAGAGGGCAAGGAACCAGGAAGCAGAAGCTGAAGAGAAAACTTGTGCCTGGTTTACAGATGGTTCTGTGTGATATGCGGGCACCACTCAGAAGTGGACAGTGGCAGCACTACAGCCCCTTTCTGGAACCTCATGCCGCTAAGAAAGCAGTCTCAGGAGCATTGTGCATCCTTTGGACCCAGGGTCCCTGTGCAGAGAAGCTCCTCAATCAAGGGAAGACTGATGACAGGGACCTTCCTCCAGAGCCAACAGAGAAAGCCTTCACCTGGAGCTGGCATCCTGAATTCAGACTTCTGGCCTACTACATTGTGAGAAACGAACTTGTGTTTGTTAAAACCATCCACTTGTGGTATTTCTGTTACAACAGCACTAGATAACCAAGACATGGAGCCTAGGGATAAGAAGCAATAAAAAATGTATGTGATTTTTTTCTTTCTTTTTAAGTTCACCTTTTTAGAAGATCGGTGGTGGTGGTTGTGGTGGTGGTGATGCGCTAGCAGTGTTTTAGCGTTAGTGCTCATGGTGACTACAAAGGGGGAGGACGACGGGCCAGCTGGGTTTCCGCAGAGAGTTGTCAGCATGTTTTGTAAAACGTGTGTGCTCGTACTTCAATGTAATAATGTAATGGCATGCCATGTCTGCCCTGTTTATTGTTTCAAGCTTTACTTTCTAAAGAAACCCAGGTACCGTTGATTTAACCCCAATTCATGGCAACCCCATGTGTGTCAGAGTAGAACTGTACTCCATAGGGTTTTCAGTGGCTGATTTTTTACAAGTGGATCGCCAGGACTTTCTTCTCAGGTGCCTCTGGATGAACTTGAACCGCCAACCTTTTGGTTAGCAGCCGAGTATGTTAACCGTTTGCACAACTCAGGAACGCTTAACTTTTTTGTGTGGCAGTAATATTTCACCTTCAGTGAATTGTTTCATTTCAGTTTCAGAACTGATTTGTCTTTCTTCTAATAGCTAAATAATATTTTTTGAAGATGTTGATTATTTTTAGTAATTCTTGCAAATTTGATTTATATGTACAAAATATGAAAAATAATTTTGTAGTAGTTTTGAATATTTTTTCTAGTCTCAGATTTAACATTGCTAAAAACTGTAATAAGTGATTTATTTTTAAATGACTTATTTTTTTCCCTTGCCATGTCAGGACTCTTAAAGGTGATGTTCCAAGGTTGGTCGGCCTCTTGACTGCTTTGCTTGCTCTTCCCTGAAAGGTTTTTGCCTTTTAAGGGGAGTTTTTAAAATGTGCTTTGCAGAGTGTAGCTTTGCCTCACAGCAACCAGCTGATTGTTTTGCTAATGCTTTTTTATCCCGTGCTTTGGGAGACAACTGAGATGTGACTCTGAAGCCTTTAAGCTGCCTTGTTTATGGCTACCTCAGTTTGAGGCACTACTAATACTTTGGCTGGTGTGGCATATCAAAAAATGCTTCTTAACATGTTTTCAAGCCTGGGGAGGTTTGTATTTCAGGATTCCATAGTTATTCAACTGTTTGGGGAAGTATGCATTTTTTCAAGTCAATTCACTGGCACTGCCGAGAAAAGCAACTCTGAGAAAGTCCTGAAGGTAAAACAGGCCATAGCTGTGGAAGGTGTGGGCGCTCAGGGCTTCCTCCTCTGAAGGGGTCTTTGGTGGGTGACAGTGTGAAGTCCTAGAGTCCTAGGCTGAGCAGTCACGGGAAGCCAGTGGGGTCTTGCTGGGACTGTAGCGCCAGAGTTAAAGGAGCTCATGAAAGTTGTTTGGAGGGTTATGACTTTAAACGGCAGTCCTTTTTTTTTTCTTTTTGGTTGACATGTCTGTTTAATACAATTCAGGTACACTTTTACTTCATATAAAATTTGAATGAGTTAAGTGATATTTTTCTTAAACATTCCATTCATGCTTTTGAAGAATAAAACTGAGCTTCCTGAAGATAATGATGGTGGTGTGTGTATGTTTAAATGAGTATCTGTTTTTAGTTTCTATGTTAAAGTATTCAGATGTCTATTATATGCAGTATATTTTATGTAGTATATTAATTTTTTAACATTTTCTTTCAAATTATCAAAGTTAAGTAATGCTGTTAAGTAATTTAAATACAAGTAATTCTTTTTAAAATTTTTTCTTCTGGAAGAAAATTGTGAAATTAGGCATTTTAGTGAAAAGAAGTTCATGCAGTAATTTTCCCTTTCAATATTTTTTGGTGTGCACATTAAATAAAACATTGTGACCTAATTTTAAAACAGGATTTTAGTCAATTGAATAGATGTTCAAACTTTCCCTTTAACTTTACTTTTTCTTTTGTGTTTCAGGAAAGTCTTATTACTACTATTGATTCTAATTCCAGGTACGTGGAGTGTTTCCTTTTAGAGAATCATTAGTTTGGAAGGCTCATAAAGTCTGTCGGCCTGGGGCCCTCATGAAGCACCTCTCCGGTGCTTGAATTCCCACCTGTTCCCTCTCAGTAGTTGTCCAGGCTGGGATAGAAACCCCACTGTGTGCCCAGATGATCCAGGCATTCAGTCCTGGGCTGTCAGAATACTCAGACCTGCGAGCACTCTCCATAGCCACCCCAGACCTCCCCCTGTAGCTGCTTCGCCCCTAAGGAACATGCAGGGACAAATGGAATCTCCTTTTTCCCATGGTGTCCTTCAGATGGTCAGTCCTTGGCCTGCTCAGGCTCTTAATCTCCAGGCAGATACCTGCTTCCTTCCTCATTTGATACATGTTCAGTCTCTTGAATTGTCATGATTACATTTCCCTGAGCATGGGTCAGTTTTCCTTTGTTGCTTTTATAAGTTGGCCCTAAAACTGAACCCAGTAATCCCAGTGTAGCATGAATCACTTGTTCCACGTACTGGATTTCTTCAGTGTAGGCCAAGCTCATATTAACTTCTTGGCAGCTCTGCTATATTGATTTATGTAATAGCCTTCACTTTTTGTTTTTTTTGGACCCAAGCTCAAAAGCATACGTTTATGCCTATTGTATTTCATCCTGCCAGATTTAAACTGCCCCAGTCTATTGGTGTCCTGGTACATCCCCTGCCTTCAGGCAGTACCTCAACTAACTTCCCTGAGAGTTTCTTTCTAAATAGAAACTAGAAAACCCCAACAAACTCCATTGAGATGAAAATTACACTTGTAATCCTTCTGAAATGTAAGTCTTTACATTGAACTTGATGTTCAATTGGGATGTTGTGTGAAGAGTATTAAAAGAAAGTTTATGGCAGAAAAAATCTATCTGCCTTTATTCAGATTCTAAAACCTATGCGTTAATTCCTCTTTTGTAAGAAATTATAGGTTCAAGTATAAATTGAAGGTATTCTTTCCAGCTGTGTCCCTGATAAATCTGCAATTTATAGTAGCTCAAAATCTGTGTAGTAGGACTGAGTAATGTGTAAATTAGAGATTTTTGTGAATTTAGATAGATGGACCATGACTAAGTAGTTCGGGAATGCCATTTCTTAGCGCTTTAGATCTACTAAGCACAGATCATGAAGCTAGGATTTTTAAAACAGCATGATAGAATGTTAGAACCGTGGCAGTAGTAGCAACCTAAGGAAACACATGGCTCAAACCCCTAATTTTATAGTGCAGCGTATGTGATGCACCTCCAGGTATCGAGCTTGCTGATGGCTCACCCAAAATGAGAACCTTGATCTTGGCTCTCAATCTAATGCCATTTTTAATTCTTAATTAGCATATATAATTAGAATAAAACATGCAAGGAAGATTCACTTTTATTCACTTGGGATTTAACCCAGAATCTATAACCTTTAGATACGACAGTACTCATAGGTAGTGCCTGTTGAGAAGTGATTCGTGGCTCTTGGTGTAAAGTTTATAGAAATTGGTCTTAGTGGGCCGGTTAGGGTCATTAGTTTTCTCGTAATGCCATAGGGATAGAACACTTGCCAGGAGTGTACGGCATGTGTCCCTTGCACATCACTGTTAGCAACTCAGTGTTGGCTTTTCAGCTGAATGGGTGATAGAGGTAAGAGAAAGATGCCTTGGGAGTGTCCTACCAGAAGGAGCAAGCATTTTGAGTCCCCTGCCTCAACCACCATGCAGACCTCACTGCCCACTGTTTCTTCACAGTTGGTGGACCAATTGGGTGATCCCAGCCATCTCGGCACTGATTGTAGCCCTGATGTACCACCTCTACACAGCGGAAGACTAATCCCTTCCCAGAAGCTAATGAAAGAAAAGACTGCTTCAGACACGGGATAGAGAAGCCAATGTAACGGTCTACTGGGAGTGACAGAAACGTCCACTGAAAAATGATTGTAATGTGTCTGTCTCTCTTTTTCCTACATTAGAAACAAAACAAAAAGAGCCATTCTGTTCTTTCTACTCTTGAACTTTTCTTTTAGAGAATGCCTTTTTATTCACAAACATAATTTTGATGTTTCCCACTACATAATTCAGTTATTGTGCTAAGTATGACCATTTTAAAATACACCTGACTTTGAAAATACCCCACCAAGCTTGCCTGTCTAGTTGGCATGTAATTCTCTTTGATTTTCAGAATCCTTGGTTATTTAGCAGGATCCGTTAGTACACTGGTCCTTCAGACCTGATGGCAAGTGTGACTCGGGGTGAGGGGGCAGCCTGTGCGTCTCTCCTGCGCATCTTTGTATTTCATCAAATAACCCAAGTATCTCATGTTTCCAATGTGGTGGCTTCATCAAGGAAATTAAGAACGGCCCAGAAAGTATAGCTTAAAGGTTTCTAAAATTGTTTTACCTGACATGGATGATAAAAAGCAAAGGTGGCCTAGAGGACCCATAAAAGAGACTTCAACTCTTCCTTGATTAGGAACACCAATGACATAAACAAACACCTGTGAACTCTGAGAGAAAATTATAACTGCACATTTTCTCAACTTAACAGTATCCTTCCATTATATCTGTCCATTTTCTCAGCTTAACAGTATGCTTCCAAAGAGTTTCTCAGTTTTGTGGTTTCTAAAGTTTTAAAAGTTCCTCATTAGAGGTAAAAAGTGTTCTTTACTCTTCTAAGGAAATGTTGCTTCCTCGATTTGTAAAAACAGAGCTGTGAAGGAGATTATGGTTCATTTGGTATCTGATCTTTGAAGACATGCTGCTGCCAGCGAGTGAGTCACCGGGAGTCTGTGCGGCTCTGTCCACCTTCCCACTGCAGCTCAGGCCCGGCCGACTAGGTCATCTCGTCTTCCATTTACTCTTCTCTGCCCCATCCTTTTTTTCCTTTAAACGTGGAAAATTGAGGGATGGATTTTTTAGACCCTAAATACTTTGTAGTTAACCATGATCACATGTGTTCCCATTGGCACATAAGCCACATGAGCAGTGGAGTTCTTCAGAAATGGCTAAAACTGTGGGATAGAATTTTGTACTATTACTACAAAGTTAGATTTTTATAATCAATGGCATGCATCCTCCATACTCTGCCTTCTTTGTCACTGAAACTTAGAGTGAATGTAGGCAAAGGTGTGGGGAAAGATGGCTGTGTTGCAAGTGAAAATTTATCTTGCAGAAGAATTCTTTACTCAAATTTTAATAAACAAAATCATGCCTCTTATAATGGATTTGAAGTGGAGTGCTTTGAAACAAACTTAGGAGTTTTACTCACAGATAATAAAACTCAGTAAGCTCTGACATATACATGCAGTTACACATATTTAATCATGGGTAGGTCAGTAGCTTACTAAAAAAATGACACGTGCCTTGATACTGTGTTTTTTTTTTTTTTTTAACTGAGGTGAAATTCTCATAACAAATTATTTTAAAGTGAACAATTCAGTGACATTTAGTACATTTACAAATATTGTGCAGCCACCATCTCTGTCTGGCTCCAAAACATCTTCATCACTCCAAAAGGAATATACTGGGGTGGTTTTGGGGTTTTTTTGGTAAATATATAACCAGGCATTTGCCATTTCAGCATTTTTTACATGTACAATTCAGTGACATTATTTATATTCATCATGTGCGATCATCACCACTATCCAATTCCAAAATTTCCTATCACCCTTAACAAGCTTAGCAAATGACTCCCTCTTTCCCTTCCTACTACTACTCTTGTTGTGTGCCCTTGAGCCAGCTTCGACTCATAGTGGCCCTATATGATAGAGTAGAACTATTCCGTAGAGTTTTCTAGGCTATAATAGCCAGGTCTTTTCTCATGCAGAGCCACTGGTGAGTTTGCACCACGGACCTTTCGGTTAGTAGCCAAACACTTAACCATTGTGACAACCCCTGCTAACCACTAAATAAACTTTGGTCTCTATACATTTGCCTATTCTAGGTATTTCATATAAGTGGGACCCTACAATATTTGTCCTTTTGTACCTGACTTAATTTCACTCAGCTTAATGTTTTCAGGGTTCATCTTTGGCGTAGCATGTATCAGGACTTCATTTCTCTTTATGGCCGAGTAATATTCCCTTGAAGGATCCCTTGTGTTGCGGTGGTTAAAGTGGTCGGCTGCTAACTGAAAGGTCAGTGGTGGTTCAAACCCACCCAGTGGCTCCGTGGGAAAAAGACCTGGCAATCTGCTCCTGTAAAGATTACAGCCTAGGAAATCCTGTAGGACAGTTCTACTCTAACATAAGGGTTGCTGTGAGTTGGAATTGATTCAGAGGCACACAACAACAACAGTATTTCATTTTGATAAAGCATTGGTGGTTCAGTGGTAGAATTCTTGCCTTCCATGCTGGAGACCTGAGTTCAGTTCCTTGCCAGTGCACCTCACGTGCAGCTACCACCCATCTGTCAGTGGAGACTTGCATGTTGCTATGATGCTGAAAAGGTTTCAGTGGAGCATCAAGACTAAGACAAGAAAGAAAGTCCTGGCAGTCTACTTTGCTGCAGCCTCAAGCAGGCACAGAGCAGCCTTGTCATCTTCTTTGCTTTAAACCTAACCTTAACTCTGGAGCACTGTTCATGCATAAGTGAGGTTTGATTCTGATAAATTAAGTCTTGGTTTGCACAGAGCATTGGATATTGCTATTTAAATGTATTGTTCAGACCACAGCTTTTCAGAGTGGTTTATGAGGAAAACAAAAAAAAAGACCAAACCTGTTGTCATCGAGTCAATTCTGACTCGTAACAACCCTGTAGGACAGAGTAGAACTGCTCCATAGGGTTTCCAAGGAGCGCCTGGAAGATTCGAACTGCCGACCTTTTGGTTAGCAGCCAAACTCTTAACCACTATGCCATCAGGGTTTCCTTTATGCGGAAATGAGAGTCAATTATTACCCAGTTTTTACACTCAAGTAAAATGGTTTCAGGGACCCTAGTGGTGCAAACGGTTAAGTGCTCAGCTGCTAACTGAAAGGTCGGTGGTTTGAACCCACCAGCTGCTCTGGGAGAAAGACCTGGTGATGTGCTTTCATAAAGATTACAACCTATGAAACCCTATGGGGCAGTTCTGTGTCACACAGCGTCAGTATGAGTTGGAAACAACAAAATGGTTTGACACACATTTAGACTAAGTGAAGTCACACTTTTCCTGAGAGAAAGTCTGATTTTAGTGATTTATGTAACAGGCTTGGCTTTGCCAATAGATTGTCTCATACATTGAATGAGCTAACTCTGAAGCTTCAAAGTTTTGATAAAAATGCATTGTGATAAGATAAAAACATTTTCTCAAAATGTATTGGTGAAAGTATTGAAAATAATATTGGACTTTTTTGAGTCTTATGAGTAATATGTGACAAACAAGGTACATCTATGTGAATAAGTAGCATCTATAATGAATAGTTATTGGCTAAGTCTTAGTAAAGCCGTTTTGGAGTACTCTCAAGATAATGAGGAGGTGAATGACTGAAATAACTGGCCATCTGATCCTTTTAAAACACAGGTGGCTTCTGTTTCTTTGCTTCCAACAAAATGAAGGAGTGCCTAATTTAAGTCACTCAAATATTAAAAGTATTTCATAAGTGTCAAATTTTTTTCACAGATAATCTTGATGTATTGCAAATAATTGAATGGCATTACATTAACAGGAATGTTCAGCATGTACAAGAATAAAAAGTAATAGATTTGTTACTGAATTCAATCTCATTCTAGCAATAAGTAGTTCACCAAAGATGTTTGAACGAATTTTTTAAAAGCCCTATTTATCTCATTAACAAGATAATTTCCAATAATTTACTTTTGGATTTAGTAATTTATCAAAATCTATATTTTATCAGGTATGTACTACTAATAATTGTAACGATAATTCAACTCCCTCCCCAAAATAATTTTAACTGTGAGAGCCATGTGTCCACAGAAAACTAAAATGAAAAAATTTATTTTACTGGCATATACATAATTCTACTGCAGAGAAATGTCGTAGGGTGATAAAAGACTGTCATTGATAACCCTATTTTTCATTAGGCTGAATTTCTGGGGACAAGTCAAGGAGAAAAGGAACAATGTAAACTTCCTGTTTGTTAAGGATGCTGAAGCACTTTTGAAAAAAGAATAAAAACCGTTCCCATCGAGTCAGTTCCAACTCATCGTGACCCTATAGGATAGAATAGAACTACTCCACAGGGTTTCCAAGGCTGTGATCTTTATGGGTGCCCTAGTGGCACAGTGGTTAAAGCATTCAACTGCTAACCAAAAATTAGGCGGTTCGAACTCACCAGACGCTCCAAGGAAGAAAGAAGTGGCAATCTGCTTCCATAAAGATTTGTAGCTGTGGAAATTCTATGGGGGCAGTTCTGCTCTGTCCTATAGGGTCACTATGAGTTGAAATACACTTGAGGGCATTTTGCCTCACACACTGAATGAGCTAACTGTAAAGCTTCAAAGTTTTTTGTACAAAAAGGTTTTTGTTTTTGGTAACCTTTACGGGAGCAGACTGCCACATCTGTCTCCCTCACAACAGCTGGTGGATTCAAACTGCCGACTTTTCAGTTGGCAACCAAGTGCTTTAACCTCTGCGCCACCAGGGCACCTTTCAATGATGAAACCCTCCCCCTATTCCCCATTGTTGTCAAGTCCATTTCGACTCATAGCGACACTATAGGACAGAGTAGAACCACCCCATAGAGTTTCTTTCCAAGGTTGTAAGTGTTTAAGGAAGCTGACTGCCGCATCTTTCTCCAGTGGAGCCACTGGTGGGTTTGAACCACCAACCTTTTGACTAACAGCCAAGCACTTTAATCACTGCACCACCAGGGCTCCATTTAAAGAAGCATAATGACGGCAGACTGCTCTAATATTTAAATTCCATTGGATATGTTTCAAACAGTGATGTTTCAGCTTTATTTTAAAATATCATTATTTAAAATATGCCCAAATCATGCCCTTTGTAAATATTTAAGCACATGATGAAAATTGCAAAGGTCAAATGAAAGTGTTGTTCAAAATGCATTTAAGGAGTAATTTAAGAGAAGGTTTTAATGGCTGCTGGTTCATATGGCAGGTCTGTTCTCTCCCTCCTCTCCTCACTTGTCTCTCTCCTTTTTCTTTCCCCTGTGGACCTTTTCTTCTCTATCCCTTCTCATTGTTTGGCCACAGTGTGAAATCAAAATATAATTCAGAACGTTGATAGTGTATGTTGGGGGGAGCTCTGCTCTACATGCTCAATTTTAACATTAAGATGCCTGGATTTTTTTTGTTTCTTTCAAAATATTCAATAAAAATTGCTTTTTATTTGGATTTAAATTACATATGTGAAAGTTTCAGCCTATATGCTGCACACAGGAAGCACTCAAGGGTCTGAGTTGAAACTAAATTGTGTGGCATTTAATATTTCCCGTGGCTTGGAAGTCTTTGATTTTTTTTTTTTTTTTTAAGATCCCCACTCCTGTACTGGACACCATTGAGTAGTAAACACTAAATCTGAAAAATTTTGTTTTTAAATTAACTTAAAGCATCTTTGACACTATAAAGCAGGGATAACGTGAAATAAACATGCACTTTTTCAGGAACTCATCTGTTGTGTTAACGTCTTGAACCGTGGTGAGGTGGAAAGAAAGGAAGGTTTTAGGAATCATGGAGATCATGGCTGAAAACCTAGTTCCGCTGCTTGCTTGTTGCCTGACTGAATTCCTTATCCTTCTGAGCCTTCCTTGCCTGGTCATATAACTCATGGCAGTGCTGCCCTAGACATCTACAAGAGGGGCCCCTACCCTGGTGCCCCTGTTAGAGGGCTCCACTCTGAACTCCCGCTGTGCCCCTCCACATGTGGCCAGGGGGCCAAGGAGATGTCCCCCTCCCAAACCCCAACCCTGCACCTTGTGTAAGCAGCCCCTGGCCTGCCATTAGGGCCTGTGGTCTACTCTGAGCCCATCCTTCCAGGGGCTGGCCAGGCTGCAGGTGAGTGCACATCTGGGCCTGAAGGGTGGAGGGATTGGGGGGTGGTTTTCAGGGAGAGCAACAACTAGGGGAACAGGCTGGGGCATCCTTGCCTGGGGTCCATTCACATGCACTTGGCATCTTTTGCAGTATTGGAGCTGGTGTTGGGAGGGGAATGGTGGGCTAGGCTCATGTCTGGGAACTGATTCTCTGGAAACCACCACATCCTGGCACAGAACTATAAGGAATCTGAAAATCCTAACTTCAAACCTGACCTTTCAGGCCATTATGAAAATGTGTTTATCAAGGTAGGAGGATAGAACATACATTACAGATTTGTTAGTTTGATAACATTAAAATACTTAGACCTAGGATATGTATGCCTGCGTTTGCTCTTCTGCCCATCAGTGCTGGGGGATGCTGGACCCTTCATCTCATCGCCTTGA